AAAAATTCCACATCGTGCATGCGTTGGTGTTTGTGGAAATTCGAGTGTTTAAGAAACCTATTTTGTCTCACGTGTGCCACACACACGTCTACGTGGAATCAAGGAATTAACGTGGAAGACTTTGGTATTCTAGACACAAAGCTTGGAGCAAGGACTGTTCGTGGTCAAAGAAATTCAAGTTATCATCCGAGTCGGCTTCCAGGTATTTTTCGGTTGATCCTTGAATGATGTAAATTAATGTGATTAATTTATTCGTGCATAAATTAATATAATCTATAGAGTATCTCAAAAGTTTTATGAAAAATTTTGTTATACACGATCTGCTGTTTTTCATCCCCACGCTTCCGCACCCGAATTCGATTCGGGAACCAGCAACCTTAATCTGTAACTGCCCATTTAGGATTACTTATATTGGTCGTCCGATCAATCCTCACTAAAGTACGATAGTTTTATTATGTTCGTGTTTGTTTGTACTTTAAAACGCCATGACCTGAAGTTGTTTGGTTCCCTTAACGTGCTTCGCTAGTGGGGACAATGCGCACCCATTAATTTCTAAATTCAGAAGAAATGGGAGGGAAATTATGGCCGTGTTTAAAATTATCTCGTTTTTGTTTTTCATGTTTTTTGAGAAAAAAATATAAAAATATTTCAAAAACAACGTTTGGCGCAATAAAGACAAAAACATGAATGAAAATATTTTTTTGATTTAGTGTAAAATGAGAGAGAAATGAAAAATAATTTTTAGTCGTTTATTATTTTTTATTTTCATTTTCTCTTCTCCTGAGCAGATAGAGAAAAAGAGACATTAATGAGTTTTTTTACATTGAAAATAATCTCTTGATAAAACTATCAAACACATTTTTAACAATTATTTCTGTCTGAGATTGAAAACGTTTTCATTTTTATTTTTATGCAAAAAATAAAATCATTTTAGAACGAGTTTTAAACGCGCCCTATGTTTTCTTTCCCACAGCAGTTCTAACCTCATGCTTACGTGTAATACACGCGCAACTTTTTTCCCAAGTTCAGACGCTTGCGTGATTTGTACGTAGTATGTGGGAGCGTGTGGACTACCATCCACCGTAACTATCAGAAACTAATCCAAAAGATCGGACAACAAAATCAAAGACCCTCAAAAAAAAAAAAAAAACTGCAAGACCCTTCACTAACGTGCGCTTATACGTTACATCCCTTAACCTACGCTTCAACCTCAGTTTATCTCCCATTTTGCCCTCGACTATATTCCCCCCCTTATTCTCGTTTTCTATTTTTCCTCACACCTGTTTCAAGCGCAATCGAAAGCAAAAGGGTTTTCTTTGCCTCTGTCGCTCTCTCTCTCTCTCTCTCTCTCTTGTTCTTCTCTCTAGCCGATCATCCATGGCCGCCCGTTCCAACTCCGATTCCCGCCACAATCTCTCCGTCGCCACCTCCGACCAGATCCCCAAAGGTACTCCCTTCTTCAAGTCTTCGATTTTTCGCTTTCGGCCTCCGTCTCTGGTTTCCCTCCAAAACCCTAGCTCATCCCAGAGACGCGAGCTTTCTGTCTCCATTGTTCTTTCTTGCTCGCGGTGGTTGCTGCGGCCGTTTTGGGGGCTTTCCGACAGGGATGAGCTTAGGGTTCGATAAAGGCCTCGCACTTAGGGTTTTTGCCGCCGCCGTTTTGTTTTTTCATTTCGTACTGGAGACTATTTGTTCAAACTTTTCAACGAGGAGATGAAAGAACAAAGTTCTTTGAATTTGTTGGAAATGCGGGTCTTAGTTGAGACACCGTAGTGTTTTTTTGGTTGTTTTTTCAATCTGTCGATTTTTATATCTTTTCTTTTTTATTTTTCGTGAAGACTTTTTTTTTTTTGAAGATTTTAATTATTTTTAAAATTTTGTTCTACATTGTATGTGAATTTAGTTGGGGCCACCTGTCACACTTGGTTATCAGTTGCGTGGCTTTTTATCATCTCGCAGGTTTGAATTTTGATAGCATTATGATTGTAATCTTGATTGGGTAAGGGGCATGTCTCATTCCATCTGACTGTATTGGGTTTGTCTAACTTTTTTTCCCCCAGTATTTATGAGGACTTATATGTGGATTAAAGGATTTTAGTAATTGGGACTACATGTTGTTGAAGGAAATGCAAACTTGTTTGCAAAAACTAGCATAAGCTCGGAGTCAGAGGTTTATTTGCAGTGCACTCTTCTTCTTCCTTTTTGTTTTTTGTTTTTTGTTTTTTTTTGCGTGGTTCAACTGACTAGTCATTCAAACTTTTGGATTTCAATGTTTTAAATGCTTGTTTCAAACTAGTTACCATAGGACATATCAGATTCATGTTGTTATTTCTATGTTGCTATTCATGATTCATCTAATGATATTTTCATATTTAGTTGATTAAATTTTATCTGCCTCTTCTTCGGGTGGCTTATACACTAGAAGAGAAGTTCGAGTTGTTAGTTGATGGTTTGTGCTGGGAGAGTCGTGCGTGTTTAGCTTACTAGACTAGATGAGCTTTATTTGTTCGAATTCTTGATTTCAACATTTTAAAAATCAGTGCTTTTGTCTGAGTACATGCAGATGTTCACGGATTTGACAATCCTATCCCTCTTTCACCACAGTGGCTTCTGTCAAAGCCAGGGGAGAGCAAGCCAGGAATAGGAACCGGGGTGTGTACTTATCACTTAGTTGTACATATGTCTATCTAGCGAACTCGCAAGAACTTATTGTGTATGCTCATAAAAAAAAACTTATGATGGGCTGCGATTTCTTTCCTATTCACATAGTTATATCTGTCTGTAACATGCATTTATATTATATTTTCCATAGATAGTTTGTAACATCTGTATATATTTTCTGTTAATACAGGAAAATCCCCCCAGCTCAAATTCTTCTTATGGCAATCGTTTGGATATTTTGAAGTCATCAGGAAATGGTGAGGAGCTGCGTGATTCCCAGAAGAAAAAGGATGTTTTCAAGCCATCCTTGCTGGATATGGAAACTGGGAGACGTGATCGCTGGCGAGAGGAGGAAAGAGACACCAACTCCTCTGCACGCAAAGATAGGTGGAGGGATGGTGGAGAAAAAGAACTTGGTGACACTCGCAGGACAGAACGCTGGACAGAGAATTCCTCCACAAGACACTATGGTGAAGGACGTCGTGTTGGATCTGACCGGTGGACTGATTCGGGTAACAAGGATTCCAATTATGAGCAACGGCGTGAAAGCAAATGGAACACACGCTGGGGACCTGATGATAAAGAGACAGAAGGTTCACGTGAGAAGTGGATGGACTCTGGGAAAGATGCTAACTCACATCTGGATAAGAGATCATCTCTTGTTGCTAATCACGTAAAAGATGAAAGGGAGGGGGAAAATTTTCGTCCATGGAGATCCAGCTCTTCCCAAGGGCGAGGAAGGGGAGAACCTTCTCATAACCAACCTCAAACATTTAACAAGCAAGTTCCTCCATATTCATTTAATCGGGGTCGTGGGGAAAATACCTCTCATACATTTGTACTTGGCCGTGGGAGAGGTAATTCTGGTGGAAGCACCGTGAACAGCACTCATTCACATTCTCAGTCTCTTGGAATCTCCTTGGACAAAGTTGAAAGTGGCCATGGAGAGCCTCATCACTTGAGGTATAGTAGAATGAAATTACTTGATGTGTACAGATTGGCTGATCCGAGATCATTCAAGAGACTAGTGGATGGGTTTGTAGAAGTACCTTCCCTTACCCTGGATGAACCAGTAGAGCCCCTCGCACTCTTTTCACCAAATCCTGAGGAAATGGTAATGTGTATGCAGCAATTTGTTATGTTGAACGCTCCTGATTTGTCACCAGCTGATATGATTGTATTTGTGGTTGGAGTAGGTTGTTATAAAGGGAATTGATAAAGGTGATATTGTAAGTAGCGGAGCTCCTCAGATATCCAAAGAAGGATGGGGCCAGATGGATTTTGTGCAGTCAAGACGGACCAAACTTGGTATTTGATCACTTAATTTGATGCATTAAAGCCATGCTGGATAGGTGCTTTCATTGGATTTAACCTGTGATTGAACCGACTTTATTTGCAGGTAGTAGAGAGGATCTACCACATGCTATAGAAGATTCTAAGGATGAATCCGCCGCCAGTTCTAAAGGTGGTTATTTTGATATATTTATAGGTCTCTTTATATATAAGGCAGACAGACTATCCATATCGGGCTAAACCATAAAGTGAAAACCATTCAGATGCTTGTTTTCGTTCTTTCTTTTTTTCTTTCCTTTTTTTTTTTTTTTTTTTTTTTTTTTCCTTTTTTTCCTTTTTTTTTTTTTTTTTTTTTTTTTTTTTTTTCTTTCTTCTTAACTGTTTGGAAAACAATAGCATGACCTGGAGAAGATTCATGGGTTCATGATCATGAACGGTTATCTAGTCTGATCTTACTTTCTTTTTCCGGTTCCATGCTGTGGATAATTTTTGTTTTTCACAGATATGAAATATTTTCTCATTTATAGTTCCTCTATGCAGCTCTCAGAGAAGATGGTGGATCTTTCATAAAGTCTCATGAAATTCCCATAAAGGGGGAATCGAGCATGTCCAGTTTGCAGGAAAATGCATCTGTTCATCCCGGCGCTACATGGAGAGCCCAATCGCCTGGAGAACCCTCACATATGCTCTTGCATGATTGGAAAGAGACTCCTAATGACGTTAAATTAAGAACATCTGAGAGTGGCTGGTCACATCTTCAGAAGAATCTTAATAACGAATGGGAAAGTAATTTGGCCGATCCATCCTTCACCAAAGAGGTGGCAAAATGGGAAGCCAGTGAAGATCTCATCATCAGAAGACAGCCATCTAGTGTCTTGGACAGGGAACAGGACGTAAGAAAAGCTGTGCAGCCTTCTCCGGAAGAGCTACAACTTTATTATGTAGATCCTCAGGGTATCATTCAAGGTCCATTTGCTGGAGTTGATATTATTGGGTGGTTTGAGGCTGGATACTTTGGCATAGATTTGCAGGTCCGTCTGGCCAGTGCACCCAATGATTCACCATTTTCATCTCTTGGTGATGTAATGCCTCATCTACGAGCTAAAGCCAGACCACCACCTGGATTTGCTGGTCCCAAACAAAATGAATTACCGGAAGTAGCAAGTCGGCCAAACTTTGTTGGTGTTGCTGGTTTGAGTGATGCAGATATAGTAAGGAATGAATCTAGACATAAACAGGGCTCAGCAACTGAAGCTGAGAATAGGTTTTTGGAGTCACTTATGTCGGGTAATAATCTGGGCTCCTCATCACCTCTTCAAAAAATTGCATTGCCTGAAGGTATGAATATTTTGAATAGAGTGTGATTGTGGTGTAGGTGTATGTATATAGTATCTTTTTTTTTTTCTACTGTTAGGTGGCATTCCGCGGCGGTAAATTTGTGACTGACATCTTATGTTCAATTGTAGGTTTGCAAGGATATGTGGGGAGCAATACTCCTAACATGCCTCAACCCGGAGTAGAGAACCTATTAGTGAAGAGAATGGCTCTCGAACGACAGCGCTCATTACCCAATCCTTATTCATATTGGCCGGGTAGAGATCCAGCGTCCTTAATTTCAAAGGCAGAGGTCGTCCCTGATTCAAAACTCATACCGCCAATGACCGAGAACTCCTCTCAGCCTCATCCCCAAAATGCTGACTTGATGTCTGTCTTACAGGGCTTGTCTGACCGGTCGTCATCTAGTGTAAACAATAATGTTGCTGGTTGGCCAAATTTCAATGTTCAAAGTGGGTCAGATCTACTACAGAACAAGATGGACTTGCATCATGATCAAAGTTTTGCTCCACAGTCTCCTCTTGGGATCCAACAACAAAGGCTGCCACTTCAGAATCAACCATCTTTCCCCAATCTGTTTCCTCAAGTTGTTGATAATGCACAAGGAATTTCAATGCCCGAGAAATTATTGCCTGCCAGTTTGTCCCAAGATCCACAATTATTAAATATGTTGCAACAGCAGTATCTGCTGCAGTTACATTCTCAGCCACCTGTTCCAGCGCAGCAAATATCATTGTTGGATAAACTCCTGTTGCTGAAGCAGCAACAAAAACAGGAGGAGCAGCAAATGCTCTTAAGGCAACAGCAACAGCAACAGCTTCTTTCTCAGGTTCTATCTGAGCATCAGAACCGCCAACATTTTGGCGAACTATCCTTCGGACAGTTGCCAGTCTCTGCGATGCAAAAGGGGAATGCATCTATAGATCCCCGGCTGCAATCACCACAAGAACTGTTTTCTATTGGTTCAAATATGGCAGTTCCCAGTGTGCAAAATGAACTTCCTGTTAACCTATTGAACATATCTTCCCAAGTTAACCAGGATAACCGTTATAATGCCATTTCCGAAGCCTCGTTACACTTACCTCATCAAATGTTTGACAATGTTACCCATCAGAAAAGTTGGGTTTCCCCTAATGGGGAGCAGGTTGATGAAATCCGACAAAACGAACCGTTGCCATCAGTTGGAAGCTCACTGTTGCTTGGGATGATGAACAAGTCTAGTGAGGTACCACTTGTGGATAAATCTCTCTCCGTTTCTGATAGCCTTGTCACTAAAACTTCGGAGCAGCCATCAGAAAGTGCTTTGGGAGTGAAGGAAACTACCATGGTTGCCACCTCCAAGGCTACTGCAGATTTTGCATTGTCGGAGCCTCATGGGGTCCTTGATTCCGTGCCTGCACCGGGAGATGCGAATGATGTGAAGGTGCAGTCTGATGGTGCTGTTGAAGAAGAGACGGTTGACAAGGAAAAATTTAACAATGAGCTCTCTACAATGACAGAAGTGAAAAATGTTGAAGTTCGTGAACTGAAGAAGCCTTCTGAGAAGAAGTCGAAAAAGCAAAAATCTTCAAAAGCACAATCTACTGATCAGGCAAGGGGCGTATCTAAGACTTCTTCTGTGCAGCAGACAAAGCCATGTGAAACCGATAAGACTTTTGGTGACATTAAGTTGGAGACTGAATTTGGCATTGGAGATGATAAATATAGGATTGCTGGAGTGGAGGTTGCTGAATCCCAACCAGTTCAGAAAGTGACAGCAAGCATATCTGCTCATGATACTGAATCTCTTCATGTTGATGGTGATTCGAAGTTAACTGGGTCTGTGGCAGCCCAGAATACCCAAGTACATACTGGGCAGCGGGCATGGAAGCCTGCTCCTGGTTTCAAGGCTAAGTCATTATTAGAAATCCAGCAGGAAGAGCAGAAGATAGCTCAGACAGAGACAGTGGTGTCTGAGATAACAACGCCAGTTAGTTCCTTGAGTTTGTCAACTCCTTGGGCCGGAGTTGTGGCCAATGCAGACCCAAAAGTACCTAGAGAAACTCAGAGAGATGTAGGTAATTCTGAGTTTAATGCTGGGAAGCTCGAAAGTTCTCAGAAACCAAAGAGCAAGAAGAGCCAATTGCATGATCTATTGGCCGAAGAAGTTTTGGCAAAGTCTAGTGAAAGGGATATTGATGTTCCTTCTAGCATGTCAAGCTTATCTTCCCCACAGGTCACAACTTCCCTCTCAGAATCTGTAGATGATGATAACTTTATTGAGGCCAAAGATACTAAAAAGAGTCGGAAGAAGGCTGCAAAATCTAAGGGAGCAGGAAATAAGGTCTCAGTGCTGAGTACCTCTGTTGACGTGCCTGTTAGTCCTAGCCCTGCTAAAAGCTCTCGACCTGTACAGCAGGAAAAGGAGGTCTTGCCTGCAATCCCATCAGGGCCTTCCTTGGGGGATTTTGTTCTTTGGAAGGGAGGAGAGCAAACAGTACCTTCTCCTTCACCAGCATGGTCAACTGATTCTGGGAAGCTATCAAAACCAACATCTTTAAGAGATATCCTCAAGGAGCAGGAGAGAAAAGGGTCTTCTGCCCAGCACGTGAACCAAATACCAACTCCTCAGAAATCGCAGCCAACTCAAGTTACCCGTGGTAGTGGCCCTTCATGGTCTCTTTCTGGTTCATCTCCATCTAAGGCTGCATCTCCTATCCAGATTAATTCCAACGCCTCTCAGTCGAGACATAAAGGAGATGACGACCTATTTTGGGGCCCAGTAGAACAAACAAAGCAAGAAACTAAACAGTATGATTTCTCTCAGTTTTGCAGTTCTACGACTTTACTTTGTTTGCTTGCCGCATTTGGTTGCAAATTTATTTATTTTGCCCCGTACTGTTTATATGGATGCATCTGACTTAATGTTAAGACTTCTATAACTTTTATATGTTTAGGTGATTGATTTTCTACTTCCTTTGTTGATCAGTAGTGGCTATTGCAATACTGGTCAACCAAGGAAAATTGAAGTATGTACTGATCATTCCTATACGGGTGCACTTCTGTCTGTTACTGTAATGTGAAGTGCATTATCCACTTGGTTCATTTTCTATGCATATGATTAGGTTACTTTCAAAACTTGCTATAGGAATGCTGTTATCGTTGAGTTTTCTTTTATTGGCATTCCTTCCCGTGAATCAAACAACGTTTGGATGGTTACTGAGTGTTCTGTAATTTATTTAGGATTACTTTTATGGGAATGTTTGTTGAGTTCCTTTATATGTATTTATGTATTTATTCTTTTAATTTTTGGTAAGCAGGGGAGATTTTCCTCATCTCTCTGGCCATGGCAGTTGGGGAATGAAAGGCAATCCTGTCAAAGGAACTTCAGCAGGGTCATTAAACCGACAAAAGTCAATGGGAAGCAAACCTACTGAGAAATCCCTTTCCTCCTCGCCTGGCTCTCTAAACTCGTCCCTGAAAGGGAAAAGAGATGCCATAAGTAAGAGATCAGGTAAGAAATACATAGTGGCTGCAAAATTTTTCATTTTATCTGCGTTTTTTTTTTACCTCCATATTTTCTTTTGCAGAGGCAATGGGCTTCAGAGATTGGTGCGAGAGTGAGTGTGTTAGGCTTGTTGGAACAAAAGGTATGCTCAATCTTTTCCCGCATTAAGATATCTATTTACGTGGTACATTCCTGGTACTTGTGAAAGTGCCTTGGACAATATAGAAATTAGAAACTTAAGTAACTATGGCTTGGTTCAAAATCTCTAGGCCGCTTGGGAGAATGAAGCCATGATTGATATTTGGTACTATTAAGCTGTAGGTTAAAAATAAAGATTAAAAGAAGAGCTGTCGTTTAACCCTCGAGTAAAACTTAACGATGTTTTTTTTCCCTCTAGATACAAGTTTTCTTGAATTTTGCTTGAAGCAATCACGATCAGAGGCTGAGATGCTTCTAATAGAGAACCTTGGGTCATTTGATCCTGATCACGAGTTCATTGACAAATTTCTCGACTACAAAGAGTTGTTACCAGCGGATGTCCTTGAAATCGCATTTCAAAGTCGGAACGATCAAAAAGTCACTGGATTCAGTACTGGAGACGTGAATTCTGACAGCGGCAGTGTTGGGGACATTGACCGAGATGTTGCTGGGGGCCCTGATGGGTCTGCGAAAGGAGGCAAGAAGAAGGGGAAGAAAGGAAAGAAGGTGAACCCCTCTGTTTTGGGATTCAATGTTGTCAGTAGCCGGATCATGATGGGTGAAATTCAGACGGTGGAAGATTAGGAAATTTAGAGAAGCTGTACATACATTTTGGCTTGGAACTGTTGTAAATGTTTTTTATTTTATTTTTTTTGTTTTTATTTTAGGATATTTGTTCTCCTTTATAGAGCCGCAGCAAAGCAGCTGTTATTTTATCTGCTTAAGCGATTTTGTGTACTATTAGGGTGCCAGAGTACCTATTTATTTTGGTTACAGGAAAACCTGAGCGGGATACAATGAATTTTGGGCCTGTTCACTTCACTAACTCCAATTTTATGATTTGAGTAAGAAAA